TGTCGAAATCGAAGAGTTAAGGCGTCAGATTTTTTCTTTAGGAGGTTTCGACCTGTCTGTGCTCCTTTTAACCGAGCCCTCATGATGGTCTGTGCCCTATGTAAATAAAGTTAAACACATTTAAAATAAAAATACTTCCCCAATATGGTGTTAAAATTATGCTAATTCCTTGATGTCATGAGAGCAAGAATATATACCATTTGTGACTGACAGGCTTAATTGGTTTCTCAATACTGTAGATTTCCACCCTCAGTGTTCCATAAATAAGAAGTCTTTTTTATTTAAAACAGAAACAATCCTTTAATAAATAAGAATTTAATAATTTGATAAATAAGTTAATAAATAATAATTTAATAAATTATAATTAATATTACTTAATAATTGGTTAATTTAATAAATTTTATTATGATTTAATAAATATTTATTAGAACTATTTTATGATGCCAGCATAGTTTAAATAATTACTTGATTTGTGAGTTAAAACAGTATATGTTTCCATTAGGGATGCACTAAGAATTAAAAAAAAAATCTGTCCAATGATATATATCAAAATTTGAAATGCTTACCTTCAGGACCAACAATTCTACTTTAAGGGATTTATCCCCCTGATTTACTCCCACATGTACACAAAAACATGTAAAAGGTCAAGGACGAGTAGTCCAGCCTTATTTATAATAGCAAAAGGGTGGGAACAAGTTAAATGTTTCACAAATCATGGTTCATCATACAACAGAATGATATGAAGCCATTAAAAAAAAGAGGAAGGTAGATCTGCATGTGCTCCTCATATTATATTGTCTCAGTTATGCACAGTAAGGGATGAATGTGCTTATATAGATAAAGAGAATAGTTCTAGAGAGGTTCACAGAAAGTGGTCTAACAGTTTCCTTTGGAAAGTGAGGTTGAGTGAAAAAGATGGATTTTTTTACTACTATATTCTGTTTTACCTTCTGTATTTCATACCACAATCATTTATCACTTTTTCCATTAAAAGTGTGGCATTGAAGTGTTTTGATATCATCAATTAAGACTCTACTACCAATCACTTTACTAATTTGTAAATGACTCCAGGTAACAAATGACACATATAAGTAAACACTTCTGAGAAGTGACAAGCCACTTAAATCTCCTTACCTCCCTATTTCAATCTCTTCCCATCAGAAACCCCAAAACCAAAGTCAAGAAAGCAACAGCAGAAATTGACATTTCCATTCTTGCTACCATATGCCAGATAAAATTTAATAATGAGAAAAAAAAGTGGATAATAAGATTCAATAATCAATTGTATAACATACTTAAAGTGATTTAAGGGGACATAATTTCATATGACTGGTGTTATTACCAACTGCAAAATAGTTTTTGCTAAACTTCTGACTAAATTCTTAGATTATACTGAATCTTCTACCATAGGCCAAAGGTTACTAAAATCTATAGCTGGAAGGGGCTTTAGACATTATCTTGAAAGATAGGAAAACGAAGCTCAGAAAAGTGAAACGACTTTCCCACAGTCACTCGGTGAAGAAAACGCAGAGCAAGACCTGAAACAGATTTCTGACTCCAGGGATTTAACCAAGGTTCAAACCTAGGTTCACTGTACCCCAACCATGTGCCATACTGCCTCACCTATAGATTAAGGGGACATAATTCAGGTGAACAGTTCTGTCTTTGAAAAACTAGCTATCAGTGGCTGAATTTGCACTGACTAGCCTCATTGGAGGTCTAACCAAGTGAAGCTGGTTCAGCTTCCAGCTGAGGAAGAGCTATGCACCTCAATGTGTACATTTAACATACTGTGTTGTTGACACTAACCACCAGATTTTGGGCTCAAAGAGTTGAACCAAATTTCAGTCAAATCCTAGTACTGCAAACGGCAGCAAGTTTACAGTAAAAAGCTAATTTTAATTTCCTCCTATATTTCTTTTCTCATGAAACAGACAAATTTTAATTCTTGAGACTCAAAGAGTGACGTGTCCAAGGGCTTATAGCCAGTACGTAGGAGAACCTGGATGTGACTGACTTCTGTTGACTCCAAATCCTTCATGCCTCCTCTGCTTCCACTCTAAACTTGTTTTGCTCTCTCTGGTGCCTAAGTGGGTGACAGCCCCATTTCACAGGATAACACTGTAAGGTAGTAGTGTCTGAAACAGAAGTCACTAGTGTATTTTCTAGCCTCGCTCTTTAAACACTTGTTCTTTCACAAGTTACAGAGCTGCTTGGCCCCCCAAAAAAATGTTTGACCTTCAGCTAGGATGATGACTTTGCTTTCCAGCTGAATCAAAAACATCTGACTACATGACAAAGTACCTGCTGATAAGCCTTGGGGAAAATATTTAGAGAAGCAGTTACTTCCTGCACCTGATTTTCCTCTCAATCGGCAAGCTGAGTGCTCTCAAATAGCAATTTTCACCTTCACAAACCTATCATTCTTGTCTAAGCCCAAAGAGTGTATTTTCACCTCTTAGTCTCAAAGTAAGAACAAAACAAAACAAAATGTTAACATTCTGACTACTATCAAAGATAAACACAACCAGACATTAGTTAAAGCTGTGAAAACAGATATTATTCAGTAACCACTGACCGCAGGGGAAAGAGCTGAGCTCCTTCCTGATTGTGCACAGGTGATTAGGCATTTTAAAATGAGTGAGGAGAGTGAGAGTGGACGCGAGTCAGAGAAAAATTCCAAAAGGTTGGGCATTGGAAATGCCATCAGGCCAGCTGTGTCTGCTAGCAGGCAATTAAGGAAGGGCGGTCAGGGGCATAGTCTCAGGTGTTGCATAGAACAAAGAGTAAATTCTGGCTGGATGAGTTTTCTCAAGCAGGCATTTTACTAGGGGCTGGAGTCATTCTAGGAACATAGCCTTAGGCTACTAGAAGCCATGCTAGCGTCTGGTGTCTCTTAGGGCAGAGGTTTGGATGGAGTCAGTCTTTAAGTGCTGGGAGTTCTACAGTCCTCACTACCCCAGAGTAGTCCTGAGCCTTATCTATTTCACAGGCACTGCCTTTCTCCACAACTGACTGACTTCCCACCTAGGACTAACAGCTATTAGAAAGTCAGTAGGTGAAGGTAGAAACCAAACAAACAAAAACCCCTTCATTTCATTAAAAGCTGTAGCCACCCAGGTAGGTACAGAAATCTAGGTTTGGGGTTTAAATATAACTCTTATTTTAAAGCATCTTCAGATTCTCTGAGAAAAAGCCAAAATAAAGAAAAACAACAGAACACCCCCAAAGAGATAGGACCACAATCAAAAGATCTAAGTGTCAAAGCCAAAACTGATTTTCTGCTCCTCAGTGAAAAAAAGAGGAAAAGGAAGAGGGGCAGGGGGATGGGGAGAGGGCAAATAAGAACAATCTTTACCTTCCACACGTTGTTAGACACATTTGAGAAAACTCAAAATTTTTCTCCTGACAAAGAATTCAGGCCCAAAGAGAAAAGGAGGCCACAAGTGAACAGATTCCACGGCATGGGTTCATTCAAGTAACATTTTTTGTGGACCTTCTGTGGATTAATAATCAAGACACTTCTCATCCTGGAGAGAGCTCACAGTTCAGTGGTAAATATACATAAACAAATATGCACTTTATAATGTGATGGGTGATATTAACAGAAGTCTGAATGAGATGCAATGGTGACAGACAAAAGGAGTGCCTCGGAAATTCAGGTCTAGCTTCCCACCGCATGTGACATTTCAGGGGGTCTTGGAAAATGAGTATGGGTATCCAAGATCGAACCTGACGCCCACTTTAGGGCGTTTCGATTCAACCCCCAAATTGGCTTAGAAGCCTGCTTCCCACCGCAGTAGACTTCTCTTCTCAAAGCATTTATCAGGGCTTCCCTGGTGGCGCAGTGGTTGAGAGTCCGCCTGCTGATGCAGGGGACGCGGGTTCGTGCCCCCGGTCCGGGAAAATCCCACATGCCGCGGAGCAGCTGGGCCCGTGAGCCATGGCCGCTGAGCCTGCGCATCCGGAGCCTGTGCTCCGCAACGGGAGAGGCCACAACAGTGAGAGGCCCTAGTACCGCAAAAAAAAAAAAAGCATTTATCAAACTTCGTCCGCTTGTCTATCCCTCCACTAAACTGTGAGCCCTGTTAGGGCAAGAGTGGCGACGATTCATAGTTATATAAATCCAGTGTCCGGATCAATAAGGGAATATGGAATGAATGGCTCGATTAATGACTAAAGTCAGCGGATCTCTACAAAAGCCAGCAGGCCGGGCGCCTGTTCTCACGTGCTGGACTTGCTCTGTCCAGTCTGGTTCACTCAGAGGAATGTGTAAGGGGCCCCTCAAGGAGCCTCGCCCTGGACTCACGAGAAGAGACTGGAGAGAGCTCAGGTCGGCCCAGGAAACAAGGAGCCCCGCTGCTGGTCCAGGGTATGGAGGGACAGCGGCTCGGGAAGGTCTTCCTGAACACCTGTTCGTTCCATTCGTTTACTTACATTCTCGAGGGAAAGATTTCAATTCGGTCTTTGGCCGACATTCTGACGATGACTGTTAGGCCCGGGTCCCTGGCCGGGCAATCGTGGCTGCAACAAACCCAGCAACTGACTCTTCCCCTACCTGAGTCAGCTGGTTGTGTCACGTGACCCCCCTGGCGTTGCTAAGAGGCAGCCAGGATACGCCTTCTTCACTTCCGCTTCCTGTCGGTAAGGGTGGGGGTAGGGGTGTGAGGAAGTCGACAGGAAGAAGGCGGTGCCCGGATGTTGAGGCGCGCGCACCCCAGAACCGCCTCTCATTTCCGGTTCGTCTTCTAGCACCCACCCCCGCCCCCCGGGTCTCCAGCTCCCAGGCGGCTGCGCAGGGCGAGGCGAAAGAACAGGGAAGAGTACACTCCTTCTCTTCCTCCACTTTTCATCTTTGGTCACAGCGCCACCTCATGGTTTATTAAAGCTTTCAGAGAGGATTTATTTTTCAGGGACAAGGAATCAGAGTCCTCCCTCTCACCTGCTCCGTAAAGGTTACTTAGCGAAAGCTAAAGACAGCGAGAAAACGTACTTTTCAGGTCTTCCTAAGGTCCACATTCTTCTTTGTTCTCGGAGGACCTGGACTCTATGGTCAGTGACGAAGAGGGGCCTCCATCCTGTTGGCGCTTGCGTGCTGAGAGGTGGTTCCGCATGCGCGGTGGGGTCGAGCGAAGCGCACGCTGAGGAGAGTCGGCGGCTGTTACGGGTGGATCAAGTCTGGTCTCTCCGATTGAAGAGCGTGGCGCCGGACACCAGTGCAGGATTCACACACATACCTCAGGTGACTAGTCGCCCCGATCGGTTTCTCCAGGAATTCACTTTGGTTGTGTCCAGTGACATGGGTGGTCGATAGAGGGTAGGCCCGGGCTAACACCCCCTCCTTCTCCCGTCCCTGCGCGGGAAGTGTCTGCACACAGCTGCCACCGCCCGCCGGCTCCGTGTCGGTCTCCCCGTGTAGCGGAGGTGTCATGGTGCGAACGGAGGCCTCTCGTGAAGGGAGGCGGGCCGAGTGACTGAACAGCCCTTTCAGTGTGCTTCAAGTGGGGACGCCGTGAGGTGGGGCGGCCTTGGGAGAATGCCGTGACGCCCCCGAACCGGGACGCGGAACACTTTGCCCTCTCCGGACCTGAGAGTTCCATCCTTTTTCTTTTTACTTCCGCGCCAGCAAATACTCTCAATTGTAACCAGACCGGGCACTTCAAGGAACCCGTTGATTGGGCCACGATATTGACAAGAGTTGGGTTAAAAAAAAGATCCAATAAGTGATATTAAAAGAAATCGAAGCTGCTGTCGCCCTGTGTTGCTGGAGTGGTGCGTTTCTGGAGAATGAGTCGCTCCTTAAGATGGAACTAAAAGATCCTACTGAAGAGTTTATTACTCTTCGTATCGGTTTGCTCTGTTTCAGCACCGATGAGAATAGAGTTGTAGAAATACGCGCTGTGATCTTACGGTTAAGCAGAACTAAAAAAACACATAAGATACAGGAATTTTAGGTCCCTTTTGTCAGCGCCCCAAACTTAGGCTACTTTAACGTTCATTAATAAGAAACATTGTTTCTTGGGGAAAAGGTGTAGCAAAGAAGTCTTGTCTTTTCTACCGATTTAAGCTGTTATCCAAGGGGGAAAAAACCTTGTAACTCTGTGTCTTTCAGTAGTTTGGAATTATTTACATAGAGGTTTACTGCCTCTTCTCAGTTCATTGGATGCCAAATGACAGCGATTCTCAAAACATCTCAAAAAGATGCACAGTAATGTTTTTAGAGATGGGTGCTTCCTCTTTCAATGACAGTGAACTAGTTTAAAAGCTTTATTTGTGTAGCACTTATATAGTAAAAACGAGCATTCAGAACATAACTGTTAGGGCCGAATTAGAATGATCATGGGAGTTGCCTCTATCACATCGTACTTTACTTTGGAAAAGAATGTGGACTTCTGTATCCATTATGGCGACTTGACCATGCAGTGGTTTAAGAAGTCCTGCCTACTGTTTGACCAGGCAAAATTACTGACATTGCAGGGTATTTGAAATTATCTTGGAATTCAGTTCATGTATTTTGAAAGATGGGTGTTCTTTACTGGAGAACACATACTGTATTGTAGTACTCTGACATATTAAGGCTTTGTGGGTTAAACTCTGGAGTCAATGTCAGATGACCTGGATTTAGCTCCTGTTGTACTTAGTAAGCATTTGTCTTTGAGGAAGTCATTTAATACTTTGTTTTAATAATAAAATAATTGTTTAATGAATTAAGTTACAAAATGGAAATGATACATCCTTTGCCTTTTAATAGCTTATATTTGTATAGCACATTACACTTTCCAAATTTTATCACATGTATATTATTTCATTTGATACCCGCCACAAACCGGTGAAGTACATGGCACACACTAGAAACTACAGTTAATGGGAATGCATTTCCCAAGCAGCCACAGCTAGTAAGTAGGAGAGTGAAGTCTGGAACCCATGTCTAGAACTATTCCCAAAGTCAGGCTATGCTACTTGCCTGACTTGAGGACCCTATTGAGGGCAAAATAAATAAGTCGAAGTGCTTTGAAAATTATGTAAAAGGGCTGATAGATACTTGGTGTGTGACTCCTATTTTCCTGACTGAGTTTTTTCAAAGTTAGTGTTATTAGCATATTTCCATAAATAAGGAGATAGGTTCAAAATCTGTCAACCATTATGCAGGTTCTTTTGCAAAGTAGATTTTTTTTATACTCCACTACTTGTCTTTTACTGTGAATGACATGCCATTAGCAGTATTCCTTTATTTACACCGTCTATTGCAAAGAGACTTGTACCTCCTGAAGCATTAGCATCCATACCTCCCTTCAGGATTCTTTTACACGATTGCCTGTGTTCTTTACAATCGAATTAAGTCTTGCTTTTCCAAAATTATTGGCTTTACTATTTGAAGAAACTTGGTGAGTAAAAGTCGTTAGCACCTGTTAAATCTCTTAAAACTGTTTCATACATTTCCATAACGTTTATTTTTATATCCAATTTGAAACTTTTTCAGCTCTCAAATTTTAGTACTTTACATGCAGATATTTGACAACAGTTGTCCAAGAAAAAAAAAAGCCCTGCTTAAAAATGAAACAACCAGCTCAGCTGTTTCTTGGTGGGTAATTGAATGTCTGCTTCCCTTTATTTGCTAAATCCCTGTTTTGTCAAGCTTCAAAGAGAAATATATCTCTGCCACTATTATTAATATGCAGCTTTATTTTTTGTTATACAGGATAGGTTAATACTAAAAGTTTGCACTAATTTATAGTTTATGTTCCAGCACTGAATATGTACATTGATAGTGCTTTTTGTTTAAGATGTTTTACTGATTGTCATGTATTTATCAGTGATATTGAGAGAAAATATAGCCTGATGTATAAGACACAAACTATGGATTCAAACTTCATAGGTTCAGATTTTGACTGTCACTTGTTAGCAGTATATGACAAAACAAGATGCTTAACCCATGCTTTATGTTTTTCATCTATAAAATGGGGAAGACTAGGAGGAAAGTGATACCTCAGGGAGATAGGCAGTGGCCAGATAATATAGGACCCTGTAGGTAGTGGAAAAATGTATAAATCAGTGGGTAAGCCACTAGGAAGAAACATGTGAGTGCAGGTAGCAAGTTCTCAAACTGCTCTGAAGCAGAACTCTGGTGTTCTATGAGCTGGATGTAGGTGTTCTGTCTTTAAGATAAGTAATGACAGTCTTATTTCCCAATTAATAAGAAAAAAATAAGTTAGTAGGTGAAGTTTCACAAATTTTTCATAGGACCTTAGGTCTTATTATTGCCTGTCTTCTGAGCTTTGACAATAGTAAATTAGTTAAGATTAGCAGAAAAACATGAAAATTATCAACTATGATTAATTTGAGAGCTTCCTTTTAAAAATGTATTTCTACATATGGTATGATTTTAGGCCTGTGGGTCATAAAAGGAGTGGTGTTGAAAGTAGGTTGGGTGGATCAAAGGGAGTAGTTTTAAATATATTTAATGTGTGGAGGTTAAAAGAAACTTGAACTTTATAGTAGTGGGAATCTATAAAGCTGTTCTCGAGCTTGGGTATAACTATTCAACAAAAGAGAAGAATATTTGGGAGTAATGGGAAAAGTGGGAGCTAAAAATTATGGTAGTTGTGAATTAAATTCAAGTTTGTTTTAAGAGGAAAAAAATTCAGATTAGTGTCTTTTGTGATTAATAAATTTTTTGTTTTTGTCTTGAAATGTGATACTATAATTTTGGCTATAATAAATAATAGAGTATATCATTTGATATGTGGTTAGGGTTAGGATTTAATTTTTTGGAAGAGTCTTCCCTTCATATAGCAGGCGGTAGCATATCCAGTCTTAGCTGACTTGGAGGAAGAGTAGCTTTAGTTTTTCTGACAGGTTTATAATAGTAGTGATGCTTCCTATCATTTGTTATTTCTTAAAGTATTAAAATAATATTTTACTCTTAAGGTGTACCTTTAATCCTTCAGTGTCAGGACTTTGTAAATGGTCATTATTTTTTATGAGTCCTCTGAAACTGATGGTAGAGAATCACACAAGCCTTACAAAACTGTGGAGCAAAATAAAAATTAAAGCTTGATTCCAGAACATTCCTCTGTTTTCTGGTACCATTTAAGAAGTTTAAAGAGGGGGAGAAAACCGTTAACTTCTTCCAGTGGCAAGATGTGGAAAATTGACATTTTTAAATTTTGACCTTAACTGAACACTTACTTGATTCTTTTGTTCAGATTGCAGAATGCCGGGTCTAAGTTGTAGATTTTATCAGCACAAATTTCCTGAGGTGGACGACGTAGTGATGGTGAATGTAAGGTCCATTGCTGAAATGGGAGCTTATGTCAGCTTGCTGGAATACAACAACATCGAAGGCATGATTCTTCTGAGTGAGTTGTCCAGAAGGCGTATCCGTTCTATAAACAAACTCATCCGAATTGGCAGGAATGAATGTGTGGTTGTTATCAGAGTGGACAAAGAAAAAGGTAAATGAGAAAAAGATTTAAAATAATTTAATTTTAAAAATTTGTATTTACTTATTAAATATAAGTTTATATTTAATATATAAATATTCATATATTAAATAATTTATATCTGCAAATCTTTGATTTAAAATGATTTATTTTAAAATATATTTTTTGTAAATTGCCTACTGAAGTTAAAAAAAAAAGAAAAACCTCCTTTTGTCCTTAAACTCTTTTACATACAAAGTTGTTAGAGACGGGTGCTAGTTAACCATCTAAACAAGACCTTTTAAGTTAGTAGTGGTTTTTTTTTTTTTAATTAATTTTATTTATTTATTTATTTATTTTGGCTAAGTTGGGTCTTTGTTGCTGTGCGCGGGCTTTCTCTAGTTGCGGCGAGCGGGGGCTACTCTTTGTTGCAGTGCATGGGCTTCTCATTGCGGTGGCTTTTCTTGTTGCAGAGCATGGGCTCTAGGCATGCGGGCTTCAGTAGTTGTGGCTGGTGGGCTCTAGAGCGCAGTCTCGGTTGTGGCGCATGGGCTTAGTTGCTCCACGGCATGTGGGATCTTCCCGGACCACGGCTCCAACCTGTGTCCCCTGCATTGGCAGGCAGATTCTTAACCACCACGCCACCCGGGAAGCCCAGTAGTGGTTTAATTAGTACATCCCAGGACTAGTTTTTGTGAGCCAAGTAACTTGAATTTTATTCCCGGAGGTTATCGGGATCTTGATAATTGACTCATTGCCAAACTCACCAAACTCAGAGAGACAGATAAGCAAACCAGAGTACTAGTTCATTCATATTTGTCAGGTGCCTTTTTATTGATTTAGAGTTAGATTAGTAATCAGGTTATTGAATAAGTGATGGAAATTGGGCAAAGGTAAGTGGATTTTAGGAATATTTTTTATGTCTTTAAAAAAGCAATATACTGCAGACACACACCCAAAACCCAATATTGTATGTCTCTGGTAATCAGAATGTTTGTGACCCCCAGATCCTCTGGGATCTTTCCAGCAGAGATGAATAGGTATTCATTTATTTACGCTTTGGGTGCCCCTTTTTTGGACCCCATGTAAATCTTCACCTTTGTGAACACAATTTTTCTAAATATATTGTATAATACCATTGAGTAGGTTTTGTCTTCAACTGGCTTAATATAGTTAAGATAATTTGTTTCAGTCATCTTACTATAGTTTGTTAGGTTTTAGTTTCAGGCAAGTGGTTACCGTCATGCTTAAAAGACCAATCAGTCACCCTGACTGAGCTTGGCTTTCTGAATCTCCTCAGCCATCTAGTTAATTGATACTTCTGCAAATGAATAATTTTATACATAACTGACTTCTTTTCTGATTATAATCTTAGACAATAAACTTTCGAGGCAGCTTATATTACCCCTTAGGTGGTGCTACCACTTAGCACATTGATTATTCTAAATGCTTTGATATGACTTACTTGTGGCACCCTCCCCAGCTTCCATTTATTAAACTGCTTGAAGACTGAGATTATTCCTTAAACTTGTGTTTCGTTGTTGCTCCAGTAGGACCTCGAATGGTGTCTTATCTTATATTGCTTTCCTATTATATGAAATATATACACAAAAAGGAATCAAATACATTTTCAACTGCCATCAGAAAAAGTGAAAGGGTAAACTTGTATATGTACAGTATTTACATGTAAAATTTTATTTACATAATAGCATTGTTTTTACAATGTTAATTAAAAACAAGAAACAATCTAAATTATATAAATATAATATAAATCAATATAAATCATGACACAACTAAGCAAGGCAATTTTATACAGAATGGGATCTGAATATTCTGATATGAAAAGATCTCCAGGGTAAGATAAGAAAAAAAGCAAAGTGCAGAAGATGTATAGAAGGGATCCATTTCTGTTACTAGAAGATTCAGTCCTATTGGATAAACCATTCATCATAACTGCTATAAACCCTAAACAAGTATCTGAATGGGTGGTAAAAATTACTCAAGGAGAGTGGGAGCAACCAAAAGCAGGCTGAAACTGAAATCAGGTTGACACTTGGAAGAAAGGAACTGCACTGGATAAATTTTACAGTGTTTTGACTGAGTGCATGTTACAGACAACTTCCAAGCAGGGCATTGAAAATTCTAGGGGAAAACCTACAGTCTTAATGGCTTGAGAGCCAGAGATGAGAGTTCTGGACAACCACAACAGTTGGAAAGTAGTGATAGGGGTTAGAGAAAGGAGAGACACAGAGGGAGAGCCCCCAAGTTTATATATAAACTCTGCTGAAATCTCTGGCCAGCCCGTGAAACTAGTAATACACAGGGTAGACTGCAGCCCAATAGGGTAAAAATCTAAACAAATTTTGTTTGCTTTCCATCTGGGGAGACAGAGCTTATAGTTTTGAATTCAAACAAGCTAACTGCTAAAACAAAAATTCAGTATCCTTGGGAATTCCCTGGCAGCCCAGTGGTTGGGATGCCTCACTTTCACTGCTGAGGGCGTGGGTTCAATCTCTGGTCGGGAAACGCAAGCCGTACGTATCAGCCAGAAAAAAAAGAAAAAATTCAGTGTCCCTAAGAGGAACCTAAAGGAATTCACAGTGTGCCACATACATTTCCTAATGTCAAGGTTACAACTCAAATTGCTAAATAGTTGAAGAAACAGGAAAATATGACCCATACAAAAAAGGTAATCAATGGAGACTGACCTAGAGATCACCCTAATGTTGGAATTAGCAGATAAGCATTTTAAAGTAAATGTTATAACTGCTCAAAGATATTAGGAAAATATGCTTAATAGTGAATGAACAAAATGAAATCTCCGTAGAGAAATTAGAAACTCTCATAAAGAACTAAATATAAATTATAGAAATGAAATGTGTAATATCTAAAAAATTCACTGGATGGGCTAACAGCAGATAAAAGATGACAGAAGGCTCCTTGAAATTTGAAGGTAGTTCATTTAAAAAGAACCAATCTGAAGAACTGAGAAGAAAAAAAAAAACAAACCTGTCAACTATCAAAAGCTCTATTCCAAAAGAAGGGGAGAAAAAGAAAGAACAGAAAATATATTTGAAGAAACCATGGCCAAAAGTTTCCCATATTTGCTGGGGAAGAAAAATGTTTATATATTAGAGGAGCTCAGCAAACCTGAAGCAGGATAAATACTAAGACCACATTTAGGCATACCAGACTATTGAAAAACAGAGAAAATCTTCAACGTAGCCCTAGGAAAATGATGTTATTTATAGGGGAACAGTAATACAAATTACTGTGGCATTCTTATTGGAAATAATGAAGGTCAGAGCATTGATTGATATCTGTAAAACACTGAAAGAACACTGTCAAACCAGAATTCTGTATTTGAAGAAAATATTCAACAACAAAAATCAAATGAAAACATTTTCAGGTATATAGAAACTAGGGGGATTTATTACCAGGTAAGACCTACATTATAAGAGATGGTAAAGGAAATTGTTCAGGCTGAAGAGCTGTGATGGCTGAAATGGAAAATATGTGGGTAAACATAAAAAAACCATTTTCTCCCTCTTTATTCTTTTTTTTTAAATGGGGGTGTAGTTGATTTACAATGTCGTGTCAGTTTCCAGTGTACAGCAAAGTGAATCTGTTATATACATATATCCACTCTTTTTTTTAGATTCTTTTCCCATGTAGGCCATTACAGAGTATTGAGTAGAGTTCCCTGTGCTATACAGTAGGTCCTTATTAGTGATCCATTTTATATATATAGTAGTGTGTATATGTCAATCCCAGTCTTCCAATTTATCCCTCCCCCCACCATCCCCTGGTAAACATAAGTTTGTTTCTACATCTGTAACTGTTTCTGTTTTGTAGATAAGTTAATTTGTACCCTTTTTTTAGATGCCACATATAAGCGATGTCATGATATTTGTCTTTCTCTGTCTGACTTACATCACTCAGTATGACAATCTCTCCATCCATCCATGTTGCTGCAAATGGCGATATTTTGTTCTTTTTTATGGCTGAGTAATATTCCTTTGTATGTATGTACCACATCTTCTTTATCTGTTCCTCTGTTGGTAGACATTTAGGTTGCTTCCATATCGTGGCTATTGTAAATAGTGCTGCAGTGAGCATTGGGGAGCTCCCTCATAATTCTTTAAAATACATTTAACTACTTGTCTCATTGTGTACCCATGGGACTTTTATTTATGGAGGTGACTGGTGACATGGAGAGGCCAATGCCATTGAAAGAACATTTTTATTATTGAAGTTTCCCAAGAGATGGGAACCCAGCATGCAATGCAAAGCCAAATGAGGAAGCACCGGTTTTGATCAGGAGATAGAAGGAGCAAGGGGAAAGCCTAGGCCAGAGCTTTTATTGAGGTTTCCATGACAAAGGCAAGGTAGTCGGCATAAACAGTTTAGTGTTGGCTCATTTGAATAGTTTGGGCAGGGCTTGGTGCATTGGGGCTTTCCCTAGTTGTCTGGTACCTGCCTGGCTGTATGCTGGTTTACGGCATGGGATAATATTGGCCTGCTGTGTGGAACTTTGATGAGATGATTGGGGGCATGGGCTCTAGATTGGTTGATTTGCATGTAAAAGGCTGCTCCCACTGAGGGCTTTGCCAACTCTAAGAATTGGCTAGTGCCAGGCACGGAAGTCTCTTCCCCAGTCAGCCAGGCCACAAATGTCAGAGCATCAAGAATACAGAAAATATAGTTAATGCAGTTGACCCTGTGATGAACGGATGCCAAATAGACAAATACAGTGTCTTTTGGCTTTAGCTCTCATTTGGATAATTGAAAATTATTCCCTCCACTAAGGTAATAGAATACGCAGTTACATGATAAAAATTCATTTCTGAAAACAAAAATCTCTTATCTTGTACTTTTTATGCAGTATTTTGTTGATACGATTTTAGTGGGGAATAAGTGTAGGTATGCCAACCCAACAATATGGTGGTGAAAATTGTCACAGTGATTCTTTAGCACCTAGACAGAGATAATTTTTTCATATTTTTCTCCTATAGGATATATTGATTTGTCAAAAAGAAGAGTTTCTCCAGAGGAAGCAATCAAATGTGAAGATAAATTTACCAAATCCAAAACTGTAAGTTGATTTTTTTTTTTTTTTTTTTTTTTTTTTTT